AACAAATTTTACTTTTTAAATAGATAAATAGATACGAGCTTATTAAATTGGTAAAAATTTATTTTTATACTTTCTTCTTCTTCCACATTAATTTTTTCTTCAAATTAAGGTGGAATAAAATAAAGACCTATACATTATTTAAATTAAAACTTCAGTAAACAAGAGGATTTTCAGGCTGACCAGTTAGCTCAATTGGTGGTGTTAAAACACCAAGGCCAAGGGTTCAGATCCCTGTACTGGCCAGCCACCAAAAAATAAAGAAAACAAATAAAAAATAAAAACAAAAGGATTTTCTCCACTAATATTTTATTTTAAAGCTTCAAGAAGTAAGAATAAAGACCCTAATGAGATATTTGTTTATATCATGGAAACTGTGTTTTGTGGACTTATGCGAGTATATACCCCTTTACCTAGAATGGTGCCTGGTACCTAATGCATAGATGTGTAATGAATATTTATTGAATAAATGAACATTCTACAGGAAATCACTTTAGAATGAAAGATTGTTACTAATTAGATTGTTACTAAAAGACAGTAACAATCCACCTATTACTTTCCAGAATTACTGCCCAAGATGATGTGTATGTTATAGTCTTAGAACTTATCCATCATCTATACAATCATAATTCTTCTAATTGGAACAACAGCTGAACAGTGACCATTTTCTGGTAACAAGAAGCAAATACTATGAACTTTTAAAAAGAAAGTTTAGATACCATCATGTTCTAAAACATTTCTTGGGATATAAAACTCTCAATAGAACCAGACTACGAATATATTTGGAAGATCAGGACTTGACAGTGTCTTCCCAGGTTTACAACAGCAATTCAGAAGCATCAACCACAAAAGATTTGCCTGTGCAGGAGCACCAGGGTATTTTACAGTGTTTCCAAATTGTCTGTAGCATCATTTTCCTGCAACCAATTTGGAAAGGGCCAGCAAGGAACACCAGTGGCAGGTTTTCTTTACCCCTATTGATTTCTCATACAGTGGTAAGAAATACAAAATAGTATTATGGTTTTTTCCATATATAATTTTTAAAGTAATACATGAGACTCCATAATGCTTCATTCACTTTTCTAAAATAAGAAAAACCCTGGAATGTTCAAAGAACCCATTCTTTGGGGTGAAAAAAACAAAAACAAAACAAATTAAAGCATTTATCCAGTTAAGAATAAGCTGTGAATCTCACATTATGTATGATAATTAGAAAGTTCATTACAATACAGACAATAGAATTAAGACAGACTATCTTATGATAGCTAAAAGAACCAGGTGAAACCTTGCTAGAACAAAAAATTCAAGAGTGACTTATCAAAAAAGTTTAATAAATTATTTTGGAGGAAATAAGGTATTTAATCATAAACGTATTTTGGCCATCTAAAATACCATCATTGAGTATGTTCTGAAAGTAAAAAGGTGTATTCTGATGGAAAGAGGAAATAGATATTTGACCTACAGACAGATTTAAGGCAAATAATTCCTAAACCTCATGAGATAAACACTAACAATTAAAGTATTAACTTAATTTTTATTTTAATTTTCCATACAACAGACTATTAGTCATTGGGTCTCTTAATATTTCATGCTTTTTATTCCAATGATTTATCCTTTCATCTTTAAGAGACAATACAAGCAACTGATTTCTATAAAGTCTTTTGGTTTATATCCAGGCTTTTTTGTTTTTGTTTTTTGTTTTCTCTGCTAACTACTTAAAAATTTTTCACTAAATTATCACTCCTACATTTAGGAAAACAGGTAGTTTTCCAAAATCTTGTGCCAATAACAAACATTAAAGCTTACTAAAAGA